CCATACAAAGGAACTGACCTATAAAGAAGCCTTATTATTAGCTGATACCTTCACATTATGATGTTGACACTACAAAATTGTGCCTGAAAGACAAGAACTTTACTCAGAGATGCACATAAAGAGGTACATCAACCCCTGTTCCTTTGAAGGATCAGGCCCTTCAAAGCCAACAAAAGTTTTATAAGCAAGAATTTGATTTCTCCCAGCCCCCAGCCATGAACCACTCACCATTTCTGTGCTACCTGAGGTTCAGGCATAGATTGAAACCCCTGCTGGCTATGAGTTTGGTCTGTGTTGACCTTCGGAATTTTATTGCCCGCCTTAAAGGCCATTCTAATTGCTTGGCTTCACACTTCATCATCTTGTTAACTTAAGAGAATCCTAAGAGCTGGCTCATTTCTTCCCTTATCTCTTTGCATAAAGTTTAATGGATGTGCGATCTTTTCGCTTTTCTTTTTTTCTGTGTCTGAAAGGTTGTGATAACAAAAATAAGAATGGCTACAAGCTTTTGTGAAGTTAATTATTTTAAATGAGTAAAGAAGACCAAGTACCTGAGAATAGAATGGCTCAGAAATTGGAAAGAAAGCATGATGCTCTGTTACAGTTGGTTGATATTTGGCTCTTTTATTTTTCTCCTGAGAAACATAAGAGCCATTGAGCTCAGAGGACATGAACATCCTGCACAGGAAATAGATGGTGTGTGGAGGAGGCGAAGGGGGCACCCAGCAGTCATTCTCTGAATCCTTCAGTGAGCTTCCCTTGAATATGTCTGAGAAGCAAGGAGAGGGCTGGAAAACAGAGGCTCTGCTTGGATGGCTTCCAGTACACTTCACAAAGCTCAGGAAAAGCTCAGCTAAGCCACACGCTTTTTATGTTTTCCCGAGGAAAGACTTTGCCTGTTGGTTTCAGGGTTAAGGAGTCTCAGCAAGTTTTTATAGAGACACTAAAACATTCTCTTAGTATTTTCCTCTGTCATGGAAAGGAGCCCAGGGAATAAAATCACACTTAGTTCCTGCTAGGCTAGTTGGCTCAGGGGAGAGATGGCGGGGCAGCGACTGTATTGTGGGGCACCCTTAGTTTCACTAGGTGTGTCAAAAATGTGTGTGTGTGTGTCTGTGTGTGTTTAAAAGTACAAAATCCTGAAATGCACACATCTCTTTTGAGTTTAGTTTCTTCAAGTTTCAGCTAAGATTGTCTGTGTGTATACACACACACACACACACACACACACACACACACACACGGCAGAATGAATACCACGTCCATTTTTATCTGGAGGACCAGGAAACACCATGAAAATTGTGAGGTACGGAGAGACATAAAGGTGAGGGGCAAGTGACGACAGTCTCAAATCTGCCAAGAGCTTTTTCCCCCCTCAAAACATATTTTAAAGCAAAAATGAAAACATTTACTGTTACTTTGTGAGAATGATTTGGGATGTTCATTGGAGCAAAAAGGCCATTTCTGAACCAATTTTGGCCTTGCTTTGGCCTGTCATAGTCACTGTGTTTATTTCGGAACCTGAGATTTACACTGACTGCATATTAACAGAGAAGAAAACTTGGAGTCATTGGAATTTGCATTTGCCAGTATAATTTTCCATTATCTGCTCAACTTAAATTGTTTCTTTCCTAGAAAAAAAACGTATTTTTAGCTTTCTCACTTACACTCCTCCATAGAAGGCTTACTACTATTTTAAAGAGTTTACCTTTCTCACAAACTTGTAATTTTCTCATTCATAATTAATGCTTTCCTATATTGTCATTTTCCTGAAATTTTATCCATAAAAAGTATATATAATTATGCTAAATAGAGACACTGGAATATTGTTAGTATCAGGATATTGTTAGTATCTAACCGTGTTCCTAGGTTTAGAATATTATGTGTTTCTTTTTTCTCAGTGTTCCACTTCTATTCTAGTGGAACTGGAAACCACACTTGTTTGGGTTTTGTTTCTTTGGTCATCTGATTGTAATTTATAATTAAGTTAAGCATTAACTGGTCAAATAAGTGAGGATGGAAGTGAATAAAGCAATTATCCTTATGCTAATGAGAAAATCTGCAAAATTTTCTCTTTTAAATACTTTTATGAGAAATATTTAATTAGAATTGTCACTAGTTTGCAAGAAAAAAATGTGGCCACTTATTTTTTTAATTTTCGAACTAGAAAGAGCCTGTAAAGTATTGAGCACTTGATTCAGAATAGTATGATGGAGGATGCTTTAACAGTCCATGCTGTTTGGGAACTATCCCACTGCCTACAAAAGTACAAATCAGTTACTTGACTGCAGTAAGTTAAAGTAGTTCTACTTCAGCCTGATAAGGCAGCGCCACCTACTGCACTGAAGCTGTATTTTATGTTTGGAAGTTAGTAGAAACTGATCTCTACAGAGCCAAGCACAGAACAAAATCAGTTTTCAGTCTGCTATCATTTAACATTTACATCTGGGTTAATTTATTGAAGTTTTTCTAGTGCTTTCCTGTGTCTATTAGTCTGCCCATTCATACGGAGAACAACAAATAGGAAAGTAAGAGAGAGAACAAGAGATAAAAAATACAAATAAGAAAAAAATAGTAATATAGGATATTCATTCTTGGTATCTTTGATATAAATTTTATTATGAAAAAAAGTCCAGTGTACCTCCATTTTCCTTTTTACACATGACAGTAACATAGGAATCAACAGTTAACTGATGCTTGTTTAAATTGAACCATTGTTCACATTTTATTTTAGGCTGCCTATAAGTTTGTTCAATATTAGATGATTATGCATTAATAGGCCTCTTTGACATTCCTCTTTCTCTATGTTTTTTATTCTTATAATAGCACTTAAGTCTACAATATTTTAAAAATAACAATTTCTAACATTCTAATGTATTTTACATTATAGCATCACATAGGCATTTTATAGAGTATTAATATGAGCATATCTTTTTATTATGTTGGGGTCATTAATTATCCTTTCAACCCTTTTGGTTTATTTCATCTAGTCTATTATACCACAACATAAAATAAATAAGTGACAGTAGACATGGTACAGTAGTGATTATGATTCTTTTTATTGTTCTCTGTCACTCTTTCAAGGTCTTAACTGGTTATTTACCACTCACATTACTCACAATAATGCTTGCACTTTTATGATGAGGAGATTATATCATTTCAGTTCCTGCTTTATAATTAATTTCGTAGCATGCACTCATTCATATTAAATCGTATTTGTCCATTAATTTATTTATGTATTAATGGAATGTCACACAGTCAAGAATTTATGATATTTAACATTTGCCAGGGCTTTGATCTCCAAATTAACTGAAATAGAACATCAATTGTTTCTATATCAGACCAAAGTCATAATTGTATAATTGATGCAAGTTAGAAATCTAGATATACAAAACACAAATGGCCTCAATTTTGCACCCTCGTTTGAAGAACAGCTATTTGAATCCCAAATACTGCCCCAAATTTGACTTGCTAATACCTGGCTATATCTTTTTAAAACGTTGTTATATTGATTGTAATTTTTCTCATTCAATTAAAATGTATTGAGTATTTTTTTTTTTTTTTTTGAGATGTAGTTTCGCTCTTGTTACCCAGGCTGGAGTGCAATGGCGCGATCTCGGCTCACCGCAATCTCCGCCTCCTGGGCTCAGGCAATTCTCCTGCCTCAGCCTCCTGAGTAGCTGGGATTACAGGCACGCACCACCATGCCCAGCTAATTTTTTGTATTTTTAGTAGAGACGGGGTTTCACCATGTTGACCAGAATGGTCTCGATCTCTTGACCTCGTGATCCACCCGCCTCGGCCTCCCAAAGTGCTGGGATTACAGGCGTGAGCCACCGCGCCCAGCCTATGTATTGAGTATTTACTATATGTGACACACTATGCTAAGTTCTAGGGATTCTGTGATTAAAAAATAAATTCCTTGCCCTCAGTGAGCTGTCTTTCTTGCAAAGGAAAACGATGAGTAGTGTATGAGTAGTCCTGGAACAGTAAGGACAAGAAGCTATGGGCACAAAACGAAGTCAGCTCAACCCAAACTTCAGGGAACAGGGAAGAGGAGTAGGGGGAAGTGAAGGAAGGCTTCCTGGAGAAGAGAAATCCTGAACTGAGTTTGCAGAGGAGATAAAGGGGTTGTCAGGAAGAAAAGTAGAAATAGAGTGTTCTAGGAGAGGTGATAGGATTTGCAAAGACATTGGGATGAGAAAACAGGATAGGTTTAAGGAAATATATGTTGTTCACTTCACCTGAGACTCAAGACACCAAATAAAGTTCTGAAAGATGAGATTAGACAAATACGCAAAGTTTAGGTAATGAAGAATCTTTCATTAGTTTGAACTTTATTCTGAATGCTTTAATGTTTTTTCGTTGTTGTTGTTTTCAAAATATTTTAAGAAGTGAGAAGTGAGTGATAGAATCAGATATAAACTGATTAGAAATCTTTCTGGCAACACTGTTGAGAAGGGAGTTCAGTAGAGTATGCCCGGAGGAAGGGAGATGGGTTAGGGAGTAGTCCTGGAAGTGATCCAAGAGAGAGCAAGAAACCACAATGTGCATGGACAAGGAGAGGATGCATGCCGATGGACTATTACAGTAGTAGAACTAATTTAATGAGGATTTTTACATGTATGTTTAGATAAAGAAATTCATGTGAAAATTACAGAAGAGGAAGTCCAGTAAAACTTATGTTTCCAGTATGAGAAAAGTTTGATAGCACAATTCACTAAGATATAGGCAGTGCACAGATTAAAGATGAGCAGAGAAGAGAGGAGATCTGCTACAAAATATGTTAGATCTACGTGGAGTGATCCGATGGGTGGCTGCTTATAGATATGGCAGAGTTCAGGGGAGATAATTAAAGACCTTCAAGTCTAATCTTTGTGAATCCTTAAGAATATGTCTAACTTCACTGAAAAATTTAAAATAAGTTGGAAGTTGGTTCTGCATTATATTCCAAGACCTTCCTTCATCTATTGCACTGTTCTTACACCCCCTCCCCTCAGAGGACTGGTATGAACAGTTGTATCCCCTCATCCTTACCCTGAAGGACTGCATGGGAGAAGTGGTGAACCGAGCCAAGCAGTCCCTGACGTTTGTGCTCCTTCAGGAACTTGCCTACAGCTTGCCCCAGTGTCTGATGCTGACGCTAAGAAGAGACATCGTCTTCAGTCAAGCAGTAGGTGTCTGTTGTTATTGTTAGTACAGACAGTTCCGAAGTGTTAACATTCTGTCCTTGGTGATGATAGAATTCTGATTTGGACAGTTTTATTTTTAAAAAGATCCTTGAAGTTTTGGTACCTCATTTTTCTAATTCATGATAAATATAAGCTGAATATCTGAAGCAAAGAGTTTATGAGACCTTAAGTATTTATTTCTGAAAAGAGATGATCAAGTCTCCAAAATATAAATTCTGCTTCACAGGGCATGAAGTCTGTGAAGGAAGCGATCACCATCTTTGTGTTATTCTCTGGGGTCTACCTACAGTGTAAGGGAAGGGATTGTTGCCTTGCACTGCAGGTGACAAGCTAGGACTTGGCAAGGGGGTCTGTTGGCAGCCCCTTATTTGGACAGCTCCTCCATTAATCCTGGGACAGGGTTTCACAATGATCTCTTATTTTGATGAGGCAGTAAGGCTTGAATGGGAGGTTTGACAGGGCCACCTTCTTTGTCTACACCCAAGACGATTCATAATGCCAAGGCCTGCCTCCATCACAGTGGCTGTGCTGGTGCCTTCCTTTGCCCCAACTCCCTCCATCCCCATGAAAAAGAAAAAAAAGACTTTTCTTTCCTAACATTTTAGGAAAAGGGAATGTTTTAGCCAAACTGTTCCTTTCTCCCATTATTTCATGAAGGGTCCAATGGCACATGGCGCTAACCAGTTATGGAAAACATGTTCTTCCCTATACATACATGTTTCATCATTGTGTTCTTTTAGCGTCCTGTGAAATGGTTACTGCCATCTCTATTCTCCATGTACAGAAAATGGTAAAATTTGCAAGTGTGTAAGTGTTTATGGTTTTACTTTAGAAATGGTAAACATAAGATTTGAAGACCCATCAGTCAACCTGACTCCTGTCCATATTCTTTCTCCCTTTGCACTTCCACCTTCCCCAAGACTTTTATATACAGCAATCCTACATCAAAGGCTGTCAGCTTGTTTTAATATGTCTGCCAAATGGTTGTAGTTTTGTTACACATACCTGAGAACTGAATCTGTGATGCCTCAGAAGTCTTAAATATTTCAAAATAAAATGAATACATTGGCTAACTGCAGTAAATCTTATCAATATTTTGTTTTCAGCTTGCTGGATTGGTTTGTGGTTTTATCATTAAATTACAGACAAGTCTGTATGACCCAGGCTTCCTACAGCAGCTTCACACGGTGGGGTTGATAGTACAATATGAAGGACTGCTAAGTACATACAGTGAGTATTGCTTTAGTACCAGTTAAAATCACATTTCTATTCATAAGGATATTTAATCCATAAATCTTTCAGGAAAACATAAAAATAAGAGGTAAACTTTTATTGCACCAAGTATTACAAAAATAATGTAACTTTCAATTTTTTGCATTCACCTTGTGACTTACTTTTGCCTCCAATTATGTTTTGAAAATGGAATTATAGATTACTTCAGAGTGCACTCGTGAGCAGCTATCTGGCTTTTTTAATATAAAAGGCTCTGTGCCAACATAGTTTGAATTACTAGATTTTAAAGTCTCAACTCTGTAATGTCTAGAACTGCACTGTTCAATATAGTAGCCTTGTGTGCCTCATGTGACTGCTGAGCACTTGAAATGTGTCTGGTCCAAATCAATATGTACTAGATATGCCTACCGGGTTTCAAAAACTAGTTTTAAAATTATTTTATATTAATAATCAATAATTTGATATTTACAATGGAAATGGTATGTTGGATATACTGGATTAAGTAAGATATATTATTAAAATTAATTCCACCTTTTTAATTTCACTCTTTTAAAAAATGACTACCAGGAAGTTTAAAATTACATATGTGGCTCACATACTTCTGTTAAGAGTGCCGATCTAGAATAGTAATGATCTCCTTCTCAGGTTTCATTTGTTAATGTATGGAGATACAAAACTAGCATGACCCAGGGTCAGTGATTATCAGTTCAGTTACCTCTGTTATTTCTAGATAGCACATATCAGTCTCGACAATGGAAAGAAAGGTGCACAAATCATCAAGGGGTTAAAACCTCTCTCCGGCCTCACAGCAAATGTCCACATGCTTCCTTCCTTCAAAGAGTAGATTGATTTCTGAAGTCCATTGAAATGGTTCTTATTTCACTAAGGAAAACCTTCAGCCTCTGAGGAAAAGTGTCTAGAGTAGGTTCACTGCATTCAGAAACTCACTCACTAAAATGCTAGAACAAATTTCAGCAGGGAGGCATAGTAGCCAGTGACATTTTCCTCAAATGTTTGTTTGTAACTAAGTGCCTTTTCCATTGTTTAGGCGATGAAATTGGAATGCTAGAGGACATGGCTGTTGGCATTTCCGATTTAAAGAAAGTCGCATTTAAAATAATTGAAGCCAAATCCAATGATGTGTTGCCAGTTATAACAGGAAGACGGTAAGCAGTGCTCACTTCTAGAGACCAGGCTGTGTTAGACACGTCATATTAACTCCTGTCAGAGGACGCAAGGGATTCAGGTTTGATTTGGGAATTTTTCTTCTGCTTTCTTTTCCTTTTTGGTAAGAAATAAACATGGGTGATATGATAGGGGACAATCTAGAAAAACTCCTGGTCATCTCATGAATGTTTTAAATTGTAGTGAAGTGAGTATGGCAGTACTTGCCCACAAAATACAAGAAATTCAGAGTAATAGCCTACATGTGAACACTTTTCTCCTTATTGCTATCCCATCCAAAGCTCTGGGTGTTTTTACTTTTGTGGGAATTGTTCAGTTAATAGAGTCATAATTCTTGAAATGACTTTAAATTCAGTTAAAAGTAGCAACATTTTAGAAAAGATATATTTCTGTGTCACGGGAATATACCAGCATTTTTCTTAATTATTTTTGACAACTCACTCTCAGACTGTGAGATTTCCGAGAAGGGTTTTCAATAAATAGCTTCAAAGGTCAGTGGATGATAGGAAAAAATCAGAAATAATTAAGAAAAATGACAGTGCGTAGAACAGACCTCCCACAGAAGAGATACATCCTGTAGTAAGTGGTCTCAGTCAGGAGAACTAACCATTCTGGCATTAGTGCTTTTAATTGCTGCATGATTAAAAGCAGGTTCAGGTCAGGTTCAAAACATGAATGTAAGAGAGGGAAAACCCTTTCCATGCTAGAGAGAGATGCAAAAGAGACTAAGTATAAAAGTTCAAAGTAAACTTGTTTTCCTGTTGATAGTAAACATAAAATAATTATTTTAAATTTTGTGGTGAAGGCTGCCCAGAAACACATGGTTGACTGAAAAGTGACTTTCTTACAAACAAAAAAAAAAACCCCACATGTGGGAGTTGAACAATGAGAACACATGGACACAGGGAGGGGAGCATCACACACAGGGGCCTGTCGGGGTGAGGGGTTAGGAGAGGAATAGCATTAGGAGAATTACCTATTGTAGATGATGGGGTGATGGACGCAGCGAACCACCATGACATGTGTATATCTATGTAACCTGCACATTCTGCACACGTACCACAGAACTTAAAGTATAATTTAAAAAAACCCACATCCTCAGAAACTAAATATTTACCTTGAATTAGTACTTAACTTGCCATTCACTGGGAGAAAAAGAATAAAATTGCTCATATACATACTTGAAAAGCAGTGCAGTTCTATATTTCTCTGAAATTTATTATTAAAAGTGAAACGCTTTTATGTACTCACATCTCAAAGTTTAAGGAAAGCTTACCAGGCCATTTGGTCTACGCAGAGTGCAGCATGCTTTTTTGAGGAAGTTCTTCAAGCAGTACCAAAATTCAAAAGTGATCATACAGGTAGAGACGTGACTCCTAGAATGATGATGTGAGCAGCTTAGCACGCCCTCTCTCCAAAAGCAATATTACAACTGGAAACAATCTGAAACAACCATTTTAGGAAAACAGAATAAATTGGATACACACCACAAATTCAGAAGTACTTGTTTGTGAAAAACTAGTGAACATTGGGCAACAGCAGTTAGAGTCTGTGGCATTTTGCTGAGGACTGCTCCCGTCAACCCTGGCCCTGCGAACACAGTTTTCCTAGGGCAAGGCCATTAACACCAGCAGCTTCACTACCAGAAGGACTAACTTGACTGATTGGAGTAGGAAATAGCATGATTCTGAAAGTTGTCAGAAACAGTGGTGGTTTGGATGAAAAGAGTCTCAATCACCATAACAAAAAAAAGGATAGGTATAAATTTAATAAAGTTAGTCTGAATGTTGTACACAGAACACACAGAATATTGCTGAGAGAAATTAATAGAATCCCACAAATGGAGAGAGGCAGCCTGTGTTCATGGATTAGAGGACTCAATATTGTTTAAATAGTAATTCTTCATAGTTGATCTATAGATTAATTGCAATCGCTATCTAAATCTCAGTAGTCTTTTTGCAGAAATTAGCAAGCCTAAGCTAAAATTTATATGTAAATGCAAAGGACCCAGACATTTTGTAAAAACAATTTCGTAAAAGAACAAAGTGGAAACCTTATACTTTCTGACTTCACAAATTACTACAAAGCTATAATAATCAAGGCAGTGTAGTACTAGCATAAAAATATGCATGTAGATTAGTAGAATAAAATTTATTGTCCAGAAATAAACTATTATCTTTAAAATCAGTTGATTTTCAACAGAGATCCCAAGGTAATTCATTGGAGACTAGAGAGTCTTTTCAAGAAACGATACTGGGACAATTGGTTTATCTATATGTAAAGAGAAGAATTTATACATATGCAAAACTAGCTCACAATACATTATAGGTCTAAATATAAGCACTAAAACTGTAAATCTAGAAGAAAACTCAGGAGCAAATGTTTGTAAGTTGTGTTTAGGTAATGAGTTCTTAGACAAAATGCAAAAATCAAGACCCAGAAAAGAAGAACATAGATAAATAGGACTTCATCAAAATTATAAACATTTAAGCATCAAAAAATACCATTAAGTAAATGAAAAGACAAGCCACTAATTAGAAGATAATATTTACAAATCATATATTTGAAAAACCACTCATATTCAGAATATGTAAATAAACGTTACAACTCAATAATAATGGCACCAAAAACCTACTTTAAATATGAGCAAAAAGTTTGAATAGCCATTTCACCAAAAAGGGTATATGAATAATTTATAAGTACAAGAAAACATATTCAACCTAATTCATCATTAGGAGAATAAATTTAAAATCACAGATACCAATTCACTCACACTAGAATCATAAGATAAGAGCAAATGTTGGTGAGAATGTGGAAAACTTGGAACCCTTGTACATTGCTTGTGGAAATGTCACTTTAAAAACAGTTTGGCAGTCTTAAAAAGTTAAATATAAAATTACCGTGTGACTCTTAGACATGTACCCAAGAGAAAATGAAACATACTTTCACACTAGGGCTCATTCCCGCATGTTCATAGCAGCATTATTAATAATACCCCAAATCATGGAGTAATCCAAGTATCTATCAGCTAATAAATGTGTAGACAAAATGTGATATCTATACAATAGAATGCTATTCACTAATAAGAAGGAACAAGCTACTGATACATGGCACATGGATGACTCCAAAAACAGTATGCTAGGTGAAAAAGGCCTGACAGAAAAGATTACATACTGTATGAGTTAATTCATGGGATGTATGCAGGAAAATAAAATTCATTCATAGGAAATAGAAAATAGATGAGTGGCTTTCTGGGCTGGCAGTGATAGTACAGTTGATTGTAAACAGGCACACGGAATCTTTTTAAGTTGATGGAAATGTACTAAACCTGGATTATTGTCATGATTGTGAAATTCAGTAAATTTGCTAAAAGTATGAATTATATACTGAAAATGAATGAGTTCATATCAATTATTTCTTAATAAAGCTGGTAAAATTATCACAAAGAAATTTTATGTTCAAGGTTAAAACATGAACTGACTCATTGATGCTTCTCATATTCCCGAAAGACTGTTCACCAGCCTGTTTTAAATGGCATTGAGAGCAATTAAACAAAGAAAAATAATGTGCTCATTCATCTGAGGTAATGCTAACATCCCTGCTTGCTAAATTCTTCGTATTTACCAGGTCTCTATTTCATAGCTAGGAAGAAACAAGTCTCAGAGTCAGTGGTCCATACTGTTTAGCAATAATGTTCTACTAGGAGAAATTAAAAAGCTTTTTCACAAAGAGGCTCACTATTTACTCTATGCTTATTTCTCCAATGTGTATTTTACAATCCCACCACTCTAAATAGTTCTTGAAACACATGAATTTTCCCAACCTCTGGGCAAAACTTTCTAAATTTCTAAATTCAATTCACAGTATATCAGAAGATGTCAATTTTTAAAATATATAAGTAGCTACTCTTATTAATCATATTCCAGGGACAGGGATGAGGGTGGAAACCATCATTCTCAGCCAACTAACACAAGAACAGAAAACCAAACACTGCATGTTCTCATTCATGAGTGAGTGTTGAACCATGAGAACACATGGACACAGGGAGGGGAATATCACACATTGGTGACTGTCAGGGTGTGCGGGGCTAGGGGAGGAATAGCAGGGTATGGGGGATGGTGGGGATAGCATTAGGAGAAATACCTAATGTAGATGAGGGGGTGATGGGGATGTATCTGACCACCGTGGCATATGTATACCTATGTAACAAACCTGCATGTACCCCAGAACTTAAAGTACAATTAAAATTTTTTTCAACATTAAAAAAATAGGGGTAGTTTTTAATAGACATTTCCAATGAAAAATGCTCTTGGGATATGTTAATGTTTCAAAATGACCAGAATTCCCAAAAGTTACACTCTAAGCAATAAAACCATTACCTTTCCATCAGCCCATCATAAACAGAAACACTCATTAATAGTAATAACAATCGGGCCATACCAAAAAATTATATAAATGATTTGATTTATTTAGCTTTACTTTATTGAAACAGCAGTCTTTAAATTAGTGTTCTTATTCTTAGGACTGATTGAGTTTTAAAAATAATTAAATAAAGAAAAAAAATTGAGGCTATTAATGCACATGACCCTGGGTATGCAAAAATGAACTAAACATTTTTTTCCTGAAGGAATTCAGAGTGAGGTAGAGAAATCATACATGTAAATGAATTCTAACAAATTTTCATGTCAAGTAAGTTAATAAGGAGAAGAATGAATGAGGAATGTAAGCATATAGCAAACAGAAACCTAAATCAGTGCTATATTCCAACCCTTTTATTGTTTTCTTCCAATAAATCTAAAATAACATAAAACAAATAAGTAATGCTTCTTCCCTTTGTCCTCTGCCTTCTTTAGCGAACATTACGTGGTAGAGGTCAAGCTTCCAGCCAGAATGTTTGAGTCGCTACCTCTACAGATTAAAGAAGGACAGTTGCTTCATGTATATCCAGTACTCTTTAATGTTGGAATCAATGAACAGCAAACTCTGGCTGAGAGGTAAGCTTTTGTGTAAAAGTGGCACTTGAGTTTTTTCTTTGTTTCTTTTAAATATATGAGAAGTTTGACATGTTTCTGCATATAAAACTTGCATCAATTTATAGGTGACATTTTCCTTTTTATCAATACCAAATTATTTGATATAGAAGGTAAATTTTCATATTTAAGGAATCCTGGCCCAAATCAAATTTAAATGTGGCAAAAACATTGAGGAAAATCTTGGTGCTTATGATAAATAAAGCATTCGCATGGATTAACCTCCTTTGTTTCCAAATATCTATGTGTATATTAAAGTTTGGAATTTATGTTGATACCTCAATATTGTAAACAGCTAATAGTGTCCACATTTTTATCTAAAACAGAATAATCATCTTTTATTGTGTTTATTATAATGGTTCTTATTTGGTAATGTTAACATTTTTTTTTTTATAATGACTTGCTGAGCCAACAAATGATTTTACTATGATCCTATGAGTCACTGTTAAAAAACACTTTTTTTTTTTTTTGGCTGGGCATGGTGGCTTACACCTGTAATCCCAGCACTTTGGGAGGCCAAGGCAGGTGGATCACCTGAGGTCAGGAGTTTGAGACCAGCCTTGCCAACATGGTGAAACCTTATTTCTACTACAAATACAAAAATTAGCTGGGCATGGTGGCAGATGCCTGTAATCTCAGCTATTACTCACGAGGCTGAGGCAGAAGAATTGCTTGAACCTGGGAGGAGGAAGTTGTGGTAAGCCTAGATCGCGCCACTGCACTTCAGTCTGGGTGACAGAGTGAGATTCTGTCTCAAAACAAAACAAAAAAAACAAATCACTTGTTTAAAATACTTATTTTTACATCTTAGGTGGTTCAAATATAGAGATTACAGAATATGTAGATAACAGTTAAAGATTATAGAACAGGCCAGGTGCAGTGGCTCGCATCTGTAATCTCAGCACTTTGGGAGGCCGAGGCAGGTGGATCACCTGAGGTCAGGAGTTCGAGACCAGCCTGGTCAACATAGTGAAACCCTGTCTCTACTAAAAATACAAAAATAAAAATTAGCTGGGCATAGTGATGGGCGTCTGTAATCCCAGCTATTCAGGAGGCTAAGGAAGGAAAATCGCTTGAACCCGGGAGGTGGAGGTTGCAGTGAACCTGAGATTACATTATTCTCTCCAGCCTGGGCAACACAAGCAAAACCGTCTCAAAAACAAACAAAAAAAAGATAATAAAACATACTTTTGAAATATATTGGAGAAAGAAGTTACTATCTTGGCTGTTGGGGCTGGCTGGAGAAGTTCCTTCACAGGCAACAATTTGGGGAGTTAGACATTCTTTGATATTATAACATTTAACAAGCTTCCTTGTCTGTAAGCCACTCTCCAAGTGACCCCTGCCCCATAGGTCAGTTTAAAAGTGCTTAGCATACTCATTGCCTTGATAATAAAGCACTTTTGAAAGATAGGGTCTAGGATCAGATTATATTCTATTTATCTCTAATTTGTTTCTCAGCAAATTCAATGTTTGAGATGAATGATATTCCTGAGCATAAGCTATACAACTTAGAGAAGGGAGCAGCACTGTAAATTCTCTCTTCTTTGGTATGCTAGAGTAGAATGTTTTGGATTGGAATTAATAAAGCCTGTGATTGTGATCTTGAGAAAGAGATGAGACTCTTCCATTTACAGACTTTTCAAAGACTGGCCAGCATTATATTTTTAAGGCTTCTAAACTGGACTAATTTGTATCATTCATGTCATTGTGACTGTTCTAGTTGTCAGTCATTTTATTTAAGAGGTGTCCTTTCCTTCTCATCTCTCTTGCATGCTAAGAGTGCACTTTTTTTCACACATGGAAGCTGAACATGACTCACAAGACTGCAAAAGGAGGCAAAATGGCAAAGTAGGGAAAACCCTGAGAGAAGCAGAAGGCCTGAATTTGCATAGCACTCTGACATTAACCAACTGCTAATTCGAGCAAGTCGCTTTCTCTCTGTTCTCTGAACCTCCTTTTCCTGATTCTGAATTTTGGGCATTATAAGACAATATCTACGTGTTAGATATGCTATGTAATCTAGGAGTAATACTTTACAACTGTTCACTGAAAACCAAAACATAGATGTTGTATATGACCATTCTTAGATAAATAAATACCACTGGTCTGCTTGGGCTGCTGTAATAAACTACTATAGACTGGGTGGCTTAAACAACAGAAATTTGTTTCTCATAGATTAGGAGGCTGGGATGTCCAAATTCAAGGTTCTAGCCAATATGGTTTCTGATGAGGGCTCTTCTGGCTGTCAGACAACTGACCAAATTGCTCCCTGTCTGTTCACATAACCTCTTCTTTGTGTTTGTGGAAAGAGAAAGCCCATTCTCATGATCTCATTTAACTTGGATTACCCCTTAGAGGCCTTATCTTTAAATACTGCCATTTTGGGGGTTAGGGCTTCCACATATGAATTTTAGTACAACACAAACATTTACTTCATAACACTACTCTTACTCCAGCAAGGATGGTTTATTTAACTAATTTATTTATTTTGAGACAAAGTCTCACTCTGTCACCAGACTGGAGTGCAGTGGCACGATCTCGGCTCACTGCAACCTCTGCCTCCCTAGTTCAAGTGATTCTCCTACCTCAGCCTCCTGAGTAGCTGGGATTACAGGCACCTGCCACCACACCAGTAATTTTTGTATTTTTAGTAGAGATGGGTTTCACCATTTTGGCCAGGACGGTCTCGATCTCTCGACTGCGTGATCTGCCTGCCTAGGCCTCCCAAAGTCCTGGGATTACAGATGTGAGCCACTTCGCCTGACCAAGGATGGTATTTTTAAAATACCAGTTGATTGTAGTGTCTGAAAAACTTACAAGAGTATCTTTCAGATTCTATGGAAACTCCTCCAGATTTTGGGGGTCTGTATCCCTGTTCTCCAAGTTCAACTCTATAGATATTGAGCACTGACTTTATATCAGGCACTGCTCTTCGGAGCTATGGGACATAAGGAGAATAGAGGGTACCAAGAAGCATGGAATCTGATTCCTATCCTAAAAGAATGTATAATCCAGTAAGGAAGACAAGTCAACAAACATTACATTACAGTTTGTCTGATAAAATAATTAAAGGTGTGAAGGGACAGGAATAGTGCGTAAAAGAAAGTGATTCACAGATGGGAGATGAGTCCATGGGGGAAGTATCAAAGAAGAGATGAGCCAGGCTTTAAAAGATGAATCAGAATTAACCAAGCCATCAAGGAAAGTAAGACATTCCACTCAAGCATGGATAGCATGTGAAAAGTCCCAAAGGCATTGAAACACTGCTGCTAAGTGAGGATGGTGTAACTACATTCCTACAAGAGGCTTTGGAAGACTTTGTGGAAAGTTAGATGCTAAACTAAGGAGATTATGAGACATCATCCTTTCAGGGAGGATGTAAGCATTAAAGTTCAGTAAACTGATAGGATGAAAAATATGTTAGACTAATTTTCCAGCATTTCATTTATTGCATGGTGCAATGTCTGGTGCATAGTCGATACTAAATATTTTTGGTATAAGTGAATTCATTTTTCATTCAGACTGAATGATCTGACCAGGGTCCAAAAGATAAACTGGAAATGAAAGAGACTAGAGACCTAGTTCTGTGGTATTTGAAAAGCTTTAGGAGAGTTCAGACTGGATATAATTAAATGTCTTAATATATAATGACAGTGGCTGAGAAGAAGAAAAAGGAAGAGACATGAAAACACTGAGGAATAGTGGGTAAGATGAGGAAAAGAGGAGATCCAAAATGATGCTAGATTTTGAACCTGCATTAGTGTCAAAATATTGGGGATTAGCAATATTTGCTTAGAAATGGTTCAAAGGGGCCAGGCGCGGTGGCTCACGCCTGTAATCCCAGCACTTTGGGAGGACGAGGCGGGAGGATCATGAGGTCAAGAGATCGAGACCATGCTGGTGAACATGGTGAAACCCTGTCTCTACTAAAAATACAAAAAATTAGCTGGACATGGTGGTGCGTGGCTGTAATCCCAGCTACTCAGGAGGCTGAGGCAGGAGAATTGCCTGAACCCAGGAGGCAGAGGTTGCGGTGAGCCGAGATCGCGCCATTGCACTCCAGCCTGGGTAACAAGAGCAAAACTCTGTCTTAAAAAAAAAAAAAAAAAAAGAAATGGTTCAAAGGAGGAGACAGTTTTAATTTGGGGTTGTGTTTCATTTGAAGTGGAGTGGGAAAATGCACACTGAAGTTTTCCATTTATATATAGAAATACAGCTTTAATGGAGATACATACTGGAAGCCATATACATAGCATATTTTTATAGAGAGACAAGTAGGTTTTAGGTTTGAACTTGGTCAGTTCTCAAAGAGAACACAAGGTTAGTGACACACAGGTAGACAGGTTCATCTTGAACAAGAGGTGGAGGACTACTTGTTCAGAACAATTTTACTTCATGGTATGAACAGAAAAAAAATGTCAGCAGAAATAATCTACTCTCTGGGAAGAGGGCTCTACGTGTGCCTACAGCAGTTAATAGTGTGGGCAAGATTGCATGCAGCCCAGTGCCCAGTGCTTGTCTTCTGGACCCCTCCCTATGTTGCCATGAGTGAAGTGGAAGGTTTGATAGTTAATAAGAAAATTTGGTTAAACATACAGGGATGCAGCCCTGGTGTGGAGTAGGATGGGAAAATGAAGATCCATTACGCTCATGCACAGAGGCTGGTATTTTACCCTTGGTATTTCATCTAAGTTCACATTTGATGATTGTGAGGATATTTGATGTGTTAGAAGTGATTAGTGAAATCAGGACCAGTGGAGATTGGAGTATGTTTGAAATCACCATTGTGCAATGTAGCTTGAAAAATGAGGCAGACTCCTTCCTTAGAAAATTTTTCCAATCTATTTAAAAAGGAAAGGTAAAATGTGTTACTTTCTGGTACTATTTTATAACCCATAACTGTTTTCTTTCTTCTCTACGTAGGTTTGGAGATGTCTCTTTGCAAGAAAGTATTAATCAGGAAAACTTTGAACTTCTACAAGAATATTACAAGATATTTATGGAAAAGATGCCTCCTGATTGTAAGTATGCAAGTTACGGAAGACAACAGTAATGTTTCCTTGATTATAAATCTTTAGAAGCGGTCATATGTAGAGGTCAATGGACTAAAAAAGCATGGGGTGGAGAGCTATTTTAAAGATCTGAACGAAAAAGACTTATTGCGAAGGTGGCATGGGTAATACCTGCGTCATTCTCTTGATTGCCTTCTTGAATGTGTCCTGCTGTTCATTCGGAGACAGTAATTTCATTGCCACAGGAAAATGCCAAATAATAAAAAAATGGATGTTATAATTAGACATTTGATGGTCTGATAAAAATTTTATATAATTCTAAACCATAGAAAAGACTTGAATGAAGATTTAAGTCTCCATTTATAAGCTACATCACACATGGGACACATATGCAGGAGAACACCAGATATAATACCATACCAGTTCTAGAAGGTAATATTGTATTGCAATATTTTATGCAAAAAAAAAAAGGTAAGGCATCCAAGCCTTTCAAAATGTCTTTTACACTTTTGGGATTTTTTTTTTTTTTTGAGGGGACCATCGCTCAATTCTACATTTCTTTTCTTCATTGTATTAAGCACATAACATGTGAACAGTTCAAAATCAGAGAGCTGGGAATATATTTGGAATTTGTCTATAAATAATATAAATATGTTGAGATACTCATGATAATAAGCTAAGTTTTAATAAAGTAGGAAAATTATAATTTAGCTAAAAGCTGTAATCAAAGTCTACTTGTTACTTCTTGTTGTGTAATCATGGGCAATGTGCTCACTGATTTATATTCTGTTATTTAGTATGAAACATCTTAGGTGGTGGAGTGTTTATGTCTTCGTTACCTAATGAACGTGCTATCAAAATATTGCTATGGCATATGCCTGCCCATGTTTGGATAGTTAAAAATGTCACTTGCAGTTTTTATATTATGATTTATATTATTTTATTTCAAGTCAAATATTATTTTTTGCCAAAATGAATTTAAGTACATGGAGATTCTTTGGCAGCAAGCATACTTTGAATATTAAATTTGTTAATTACCTGAAAAGTTAATAATGTAGGTAAAACTATTTTTTCTTTAGGAATTAATGAAAAAATAGTTTACTGTAACTTGGATATTAATGATTTTTTTAACAAATCACTTATAATTTGGAAAAAGAGTCTCCAAATTTTTATCAGTAGCTTGATAAAAATTATATTTTTTAATATTCTTGAAAAGTATATGTGGTCCCCAGGCCAGCAGCATCAGCATCACCAGGAAACCTGTTAGCAATGCAAATTCTTAGGCCCCACTGTGAATCTACTAAACTCACCGAGTCTGTGTTTTCATAGGCCTTTCAGGTGACTTCTTATTCATGCAAATGCTTGAGAACTAGTGATACGCCATCCTTACACAAAACATATATTACAAAGTAGGTTGCTGTCAAAGTCTGTGAAGGCTTTCGGTACTAAAAACAATCATTTTGCTAAAGAAATATGTATAAATACTGTTGAAATATTACCTGAGATATGAAATACTAAATAATTCTATATTCAAGTAACTTAAACTCTTCGTAGGAATATAAATTTAAACATTTTTAGCTCAGGCCACATGGTGTGAAACTCCATCTCTACAAAAAATATAAAAATTAGCCAGGCATGGGGTGTGTGCCTGTGGTCCTAACTCCTCAGGAGGCTGAGGGATGAGAGGATCACTTGAGCCTGAGAGACAGAGGCTGCAGTGAGCCAAGATTGCACCACTGCACTTCAGCCTGGGTGACATAGTGAGACTCTGTCTCAAAAATAATAACATGAGATTCTATATAGTGCTAATCAAATATAAACAAGTATATTTTAAAACATGTAAATATATTTTTCTACTTGAAAATGAGATGGAATTTTGCATAAAACTGATTGGATTTCTTTGCTCACACAGTTGTCTGAACATACTGGATGTTTTCCTGATATTTTAGTTCCCGTATTTTTTGGAGACAACTGTACTCAGTACAGAGTAGTGGTGTAGTATGGCTGTGGTTGTGCTCCATAAGAGAAGTACAAATCCAGTCCATACAGTTATCATGACATATGGCTTTACTCCTCCTGTAGACATATTGCAAGCCAAAGCATGATTTGAGTTGTGTTCTATTTAAGGATAAAACCATAAAGCTTTTATAAGAGTATGAATAGGAGTTAGGCCATTTGCTAAGAATGAAAGAACTGTTCATGCTGGGTCATATTCATAATCCATATAATTTATTAATTTCCTTCTTTCATAGTGAAATCAAGGGGTAATTTATGTCAATGTTAAAGGATAGGTTAATTTCTTAAACATATTACTTTCAGTTTATTATGGATGTGCTGACTTTTAATTTACTGATCCTCTTTTTAAATGATTTATGAACTAAGCAGTTGAATTCTATTTTCGAAGTAAAAAAATGTTTCTTCTCCAAAGATTTTCTTAACCTTAAGGGATATCCGTGACTTTTGTTACATCATGACTTAATGATAAACTAATTTTAGCTTATATATTCACTCCCAGTCAAGTAGCTCTCATCTTTTTACTCTTCTCATATAGAAACATTTATGGACTAAATATTCTCCCCAAATGTCTTCTAATTCTGTTACATATGTAGCAATTTTAATATATAGTCTCAATTCAGCAATCTACAAACATGGAATAGTTTTATTTTGGTTAACTACTACCAGTTTTATGAAGCACTCATCAGCCTTTAGAAGTTAGTAATTGGGGATAGGGGAATGGATAATTAAAGTTGCCAGTCAACATGCCCTTTCAATATGTTTAGCATAGTCTAGTGTTTTCATACTACTTAAAATCTCAGTTTCATTTAGAATAAATATTCAACGAAATTCAGATATTATTATCCTCCACCCCCATCTTCCTTGCAACTGCAGAAAGGCCATTACTGAAAGTCCTGGTAGGACAGGGAGGCCTCTATGTCTTTCTTTTTGAGAATTTTATGGGCTCTAGAACTGGGATGTGCCTGTTACAGAGAAAGAAGGCACGTATAAGAATCCCAAAAGTGAACAGCAAATCTTTCCTGTAAATCTTTGCTGAATCTTCAACTGCAGCAAGTAATATATTGTTGGTCCTCAGTATCCATGTGTTCTGTGTCTGCAGATTCATTCAATCCAAGATCAAATCTATTTGAAAAAAATAACTATGCAATGACAAAAATATTAAAAGTTTTAAAGTATAGCATAACAACTATTTCTATTTCCATAACATGTATATTGTATTAAGTATTATAAGTAATCTAGAGATAAGTTAAAGTGTAGGGGAGGATATGCTTAGGTTATAGGCAAACACTATATCGTTTTATTTAAGAAAATTGAGCATCCATGATTTTGGTATCTTCTGGAGTCTTGGGACCAATCCTTATTGGGTACCAATGGACAACATATATATCTGTCAGATAGACAACGCTGTTGATGACTACTCTATCTGGGCACATGGATTGTGTGTTTCTCCCACCAAATCTCCTTTATATGTGATGCAGCTCTCAGACAGTTGTTCTTCTGCTGACTCTAAGGCACGAGAAATCTTCAGAAGTTACTTCCCCTCAGGCTCGAGCTGTGATATTCACTGGCCCCTTTGATCACTCTGAGAATTCCACTGTGGCAGTTATTAGTGGTTCTCCCTTTTCTTGCTCTAATCTTCCTGTTGGGCTTGATGATCACAGACATCCTTCACGTTCCCTTTTGTGCCTACCTAAAGCATTCAGACACTTAAATTTTGTGTTAGAAATAAAATATAATAGTACTTCTGTAAATCACTAGCACATACTGCTCTGTGTGTAGTCACCACTGCATCTCATACATGATTCAGGGCTACTGGAAGAAGCAGATAAAGCCCTTTCTGTCTTCCTCTTTCCTTTAAAGGAGGAGGGACCAACTATTAAAGTATTGCAAGTAAAGTATCTGTCCTTTCTCTAATAATATGCTCATATCTTTTGTGTTTTATCTGTAACGAAGAAGAAGAAGATTGTCATGCTGCTCTAATGAAATTGTACTGTAATGATGCCTGTGCTGGCACTCTAAGGATGAGCTTACTAGCACTGTGAGCTAAGAAAGAAAAACAGGCAGGGCGTTTTGTTTTTTAACCTGTTCTATACTTTTTCTACAATATTTGACATTCCTGTGGGTTTTTTTTTTTTTTTTTTTTTTGAGGAGTCTTGCTCTGTTGCCTAGGCTGGAGTGCAGTAGCGCAATCTCGGCCCACCTCCTGGGTTCAAGCGATTCTCCTGCCTCAGCCTCCTGAGTAGCTGGGTCTACAGGCATGGACCACCATGTCCGGCTAATGTTTTGCAGTTTTTTAGTAGAGATGGGGTTTCATCATATTAGCCAGGATGGTCTTGATCTCCTGACCTCATGATCCACCAGTCTCGGCCTCCCAAAGTGCTGTGTTTTATATATGGTGTTTCGTCAACTACATAAATAAGGATTGTATACAAAACACTTTTAGAAAAAATAATTTAGTATTGTAATGAGGGTAAGTAGAATGTAGTTGTGTGTATGTATGTGTGTGTGTATGCACAATTTTTACTGAAAGCCTCATTCAATTTAGCAATTATCGGTGAAGATAACAATATGTGGAAAAGTCTGTGCTATTCAGTTTGGATGATAAAAGATGAATAAGATGCAGTCTGTGCACTACTAGCTTTCAATTTAAATACTGAAGGTAATCAAAGAATAATCTACATTAAGGCTAAACCTCTTTCTGGAATAATAGTTGTTATTTTGGAGCGTTGATTCTTTTTCTGAATAGCTTAGCTTTGTTGCTGTTGCTGTTGTTAAAAAACTTTTACTTTCTACTGATTGCTTCTGACACTCATTGTGACAATGAGCGTGCTTCTGACAATGTTAACGCATTGTCACAGATTTTATTTTTGCACCGGGAAAAATAAAACATCCTTTGCATTATTTATATTTATTAAAAAAATAAGAAAATAGGATATAAATCCAATATTTTATAGGTAATTAACTTCAGAGGAATTATTTGAATAGTTTCTTAT